ACTGAAGACTGGAGTAATGATGCTGAAAATACAGCTGCGCATCACAGAAATACATTACAGTTTAATGTATATTAAAATAGAAAAACGTTGTTTTACATCGTAATACTATTTCACAATATTACATTTTTTCCTGTATTTTTGATCAAATAAATGCAGCCTTGATGAGCATAAGAAGAAACTCATGTAAAAACATTAAAAATCGTTCTGATCCCAAACTTTTGACCGGTTGTGTATATATTGAAACGGAAAATGAGCAAATACTACAACAAAATATAGTATGCGTTGCATTGAGGCATACATAAATACACAATAAACCAGATCTCATGGGAGACTTGGAAACACATTTGTGTTGCACAAAACTTTTTATGATTTAAGTGTCTTCAAAATGAGAATGTTTCTAAAAAGAAAAACTCGCCTGTTGTAAATGTGTAGATGTTTGCGTGCGATTCTAAAATTGGGCAAAAATAAAGAGTGTAACAATGCATCTAAGACCATTATTTTTCTAAAAAACGAGGGGGTCAGTAAACAACATTACAGTCAGAAGCGGTCGGCTGTGTCCGGCGCCGACGCGATCATGATTGGCAGCGCATCGCCACCAATGCAGCTGCTGGTTCCTGACGATTCAAACGCTCGCCCCGCCCCCGGCCCCGCCCCCGTGTGGAAGACCCCGTGAGATCCCCTGAAACTCCCGAAGGCAGGCGGTTGTTGTCTTTCATTCATTCACAGCTCGCAGACCGCGCGGTTTACACGCTTTGGACGTCGTCCCGACCGCTCCTTTTGAAAGGGTACGTATTAAATCTCACTTATTTATTTTCAAGCTGACTTTAGAAGTGTTTGTAATCTGCAATAAATAAATAAATAATAATAATAATAAAACAGAAATAGTTGTAATTGGTTTTAAGGCACAGTTGAACAGGACTAACAAACACTAAACGGATTGGCGGGCTCGTGTGGCGCGGGTTTCGTTGTAATTTATAACACGCGCCAAGTTTTAGTACGTTTATGCAGTCCACGCCCTTCTCAAAGAAACTTTGTTTTTTAATATACCGCAAATATTGCAATTCTTTTAAAATACATTTTTGGGGGTTTTGAAACAAAGGTCCAAAAACATTTTCAGAAACGATGTTTTACACAAAGCAACGGTGTTTCGCTGCGTCTTTGTTTGCTGTTTTTATATATGTTTTATCGATTAAAGCTCTTCGCAGTGTAAACAACCGAGCCGTGTTTTCACGCGCTCGGGGATTTAAAAGGGCGCGAATCGCGCGCTGTGTTCGTGTTCCGGTTCGCACTGGAGCTGCGGGGTATCCGTAGAAACCGCCGTTCGCCTTTGAACTTTCTCTTTTAAAGCTCCGCCGCAGCACAGCGAACCTCCGACGGCCTGCATATCTACTAATTTAAGGTATTAATATCCAATCGTTTAAACGGACACGCCGCGATTTAAATATTTTTGGTTTGTAACCGACATTGTGTCGGGTTTGAATTCGCGCGCACTCCTCCATTACACTCCCTGTAAAGTTAATTTCGACTTCACTTTTACCAAACGGCCGCCTAGTCATTTATTTAAAGTTTCTTTCCTTTCACCTGGTATCGTGTTTGTTAATCTATTGTGTTAATCGCCCGACTCTGTTTGCACGCGGTTTTGCAGTGAGGCACAATGAGTGATTCCGGCAAGGACACAGCGGCTCCTAAAGAGAAAGACGGAGCGGAGAAGAGAGGACGCGGAAGACCACGGAAACACCCACAGGTAGCGCTCTGCTTCATATGGGGCGTTGTGTGTCACATTGATGAGATCGAAACACTGCCCAAGCTTGTATTTTGGGCTTAAACGATGCCTGCACGTGTGTTTTGTGCTTTTTATTTTTTGGGGGTCTTGCACATGGGCTGAGGACATCCAAACCATTTTTTTGAGTGTGCTACTTAATCTCATAAAGCGCTTAACTGATAGGCTATGTTAAGATCTTTGTTTTGGTGCATCTTCAACTCAATTGCACACGCTGAACATGTGCAGTGTTCATCTGTAGTGGCTGAATGACCAAGGCCTGTAACATGATCTCTTTAAAGCAGCAGTAACCCACTTACTGTTTCAGCTGCGCACTGATTGGCCGCTGGGAAATTCCAGCATCTGATTGGTTCATCCCGCTGTCAATCATTAAGGCCTCAAGAGTGCATTGGGTTTAAAGTTTCTATTACTTGCTCATGTAATCAGAGCCTTTGAGTAGTAATCCATGGCCACCATCGTACAGCAAGATGGATTACTTATCACTATCTTATATACACACACACTGAGTTTAACAATGTTTTAAGCATTTGTAAGTAATTCATGTTCATTTTTATACAAGTGGGCAACAGCCATATGCAAAATGCTTAAATGGCTAGCTTTCAGTATATTTCAGGCCTTTGTCTAGGCATGCACAAGGCAATAACTCAAGTGGATTCTCAGTTTGTGCTTTTGTAGGTGGTTGGTTTCAGAAATTAGGATGTAACTGCTTTTTCAGTAAAGGGTTTTTTATTATTATTACTAGTTGTAAAAATTGTCAAATGACTGAAAGCCTATAAATGTTAACAAGTGTGCTGTTCTTTTGCACACTCTTCTCTCGAAGTCAAATGACGTAGATGTTAGTCTACATTGACGTAAACTTGGTTTCCTGTCATTGAGATGCACAGCAGACTTGATATGCATCATTTACTGTTGGCTCACACAATCCACTTGCATAGATCTGACAGGAAGTATTCTTTACACTGACCCTGAGCTGCTCCTTTAACTGGTATAACACTGATAGTTGGTCTGCAGTGTATATGATTCTCTTTTGGCAACCAATGACTGCATGCCACCTGTTGGTCTAAAAGTAGCAACCAGTTGTGTTAACTATGAACAGCAGATGCTTTAAGTTATCCATCAGTATATGGTAACCAACAGTGGACTCATGTTTGTGTACTGATATTTGTATTTATTTATTTTTCTGGTTATTTACCCTTTTCAATCTTCAGCAGGAGGCAAGTGGATCTCCTACACCGAAGAGGCCTAGAGGAAGACCAAAGGGCAGCAAGAACAAGCCAAGCTCCACGGCACCTAGGGGCAAAGTGAGTAGAAATGTTTCAGTGGTTTGTGCACAGCTACCACCTCTACGATATTACCATCAACGACGAGAAACCGACAAACCTGTATCTGTCTTCCGGCCCTCTATTACGAATTGAAGTTCTTTATTGGCATCCATGGTTCCATAACAAACTTAACATCCACAGAACCTTTTTATTGCACAAAAACTTCTTTATAGAGGTTGTCACATAAACCAAAAAAAAGAGGTGGTTCTTTGGGAAGCCTAAAATGTGGTTCTATGGAATGACCGTAAACCCAGCTTATGGAACCTTTAATTTTGGGAGTGTAATTGGGCCAAATTTGTTAGTTTTTTTCCATAAGTGTAAGCATGCCTGTTTACAATCAGTTTCTTGGCTCATCTTTGGTACATCTTATCAGTCTTGTTTTTTCGTTGGAGCCTGCAGATAAAACCAGTTGCTCAATTCCGGTTGAATCTTTTGACTTCCTGCTAGCTTCCTGTGGCGTAGCAGGCGCTGTGCGTTGCAGGTGCACAGGCTGCAGTGCTGTCTCGGAGATGATAACCCCACCCCCTGCTTCTTCCCTTCCTTCCCCTCCATCTATTGTCATGACGACAGCTGACCCACCAACCCTACCACCTCTCCCTTTGTTTGTGTGTGCATGCGCGTCTCGCCTGCTTGTACCAGCTGTCTCTCAGCTCCAGACCAGGTGGCCGGCGAACTGAAGTGCACTGCGTGCTGCTCATGTCTGTTTCCAATATAATAGCCAATGAACTCTCTGCCCCTGGGCCGCCTGCCAGCACGAGCCCAACAGCGCCCTCTGGTGCTCAACTGCATGCAGAGCACCTTGTTTATTCTCTCTTTCTCTTTCAGAAAACAGCAACGGCTTCGGCACCTGCAGCGATGAAACGCAGAGGACGGCCCAAGAAAGCAGTGAGTTTTCATTTGTTTTCCATTTGGTGCATTTCGTGTGCCATTTATAGCGAAAACCGCAAGGCTGAACGGGTGTTTGTGTGGTGGGAAGTTGCCACGAGCAACAACAAAAACATTTGGCTGCTTCTCACCAGGGATTTCTTGTAGTTCTTTCTCCCCCTTCGTTTCTCCTGTAGGTCTTGTTTATAAGAACAGATCAAATATCTTGAAGCCTTTTATTTTGCTGTTAAGTCAGGCATGTAATCGGGCAGAGCCCAGTGCCGCCCCCCGTTTCCTCGACAGTTCACTGTGTAGTCATCAGCCCCGTGTCTTTGTGCTGCATTCCTCTCACATGAGGCACAGTTCTGGCGCTGGAGTTTAGTTTTCCTCATTCAAACATGTCCGCAGGAATCCAGCGAGTTGAGTCACACAAACCTCTGGCTTTGAGTCACACTACTAGTTATCGTGGCCATGCCGGGACGTTTCCTCCACTTACTCATTCACACGAAGTAGACAGGAGGCAAAATGTTAAATGCCTTTGTGACTCATGTTTAATGGCTTAGGAGAGGAGTGTTATCACATGTGTCCCCTTTCAGCATTTCCACAAAGTGTTGGAGTTTGCATCAGCCTCGCTGTGACCCATAGTTGCCTAGAAGACTGTTTTAAGTTATTGGTACAGGTTGTGAGTCAGAGACAGCAGTTGTCACACTTCACCTCAAAAAGTAAAGAAAAACAAATTGCACATACAAAGAAGCCTATAGTCAGGGTAGGGCCATATTTAATTTGACAAGAATGAAATTGAGGCTGAGAGGGACTGAAGTACAGTGCGTTATAGGTTGCAGTGTTTAATATACTGATTGCTCGGCTGACGAAATCTCTTTAAGTAGGCAAAACCTCCATGACACGGTTTTGAAAGTTGTGAAAATGACATGATCTAGGAGTGCGTGCCATTGTAAAGATTGAGTCTGTCCCTCACAACCTCGTTTTCATCCACATGAAATTCAATATGGCATCTAACCCGATTAAAGTCTGTTGTATTCTGTTATAATTTGCATGCTGTAATGCAAATGTTAATGTTATTCTCTCATCTGACCGTTTGTTGCTGTCTGTCTCTTCAGGAGAAGGAGGAGCAGCCATCTAAGTCCTCTGAAGAAGAAGAAGAGGAGGAGGAAGAGGAACAGTAACTAGCAACATGTGCTACCTCACAATCCAACGTTATTTCTTCCTGTTGACCAGAGCTGGACTGACCCTCCCCATTCCCCCTCTTCCTCTTACACTAGTGCCACCCTCACCCTCCAATTCACCTTTACGCTCTAGCGCCCCCTAGCGTCAGGGAGGCTTGCACACTTCATGCGCCTTCTCTGTGTAACACCACTGGAAAAAGACTCAAAATACTGTATGTCCATTCGTGGATGCATGCACACGTGTATGTCTCGCACTCAATGGCTAATTGGTCGAAAGTGTCTGTCATTATACTGGACAAAGATATGCTCTGATGGCGGCTTGACACAAAGTGATTTGCAAAATACTGAAGTTTTCTCTTTTCGCAAGCAACCGTTTCAGGCCTAGAGAATTCAACTTTATTTTTACAAGTATAAATCTAAAATATGGTAGGTTGTGTGAAATTCATGTCGTTGTGTACTGGACAAAGGTGAATTTACCTACTCTTTGTTTTTACTTGGGTTGTGTGTGCGTGTGTGGTAACTCTCTGTCTCCAGTTAAACATTTTTAGCTACTCCGTGATTCAAGCTAGAAATAAAATGAGCGTATTTTTTGAGTGAATATAATCTAGAGGACTTTTAACTTGTAATCAACATATCATTGAATGCTTTGTCATGAAACATTTTTTATTTTTATTTTTTTTATATAATGCTCTCCGCCAACTCGCCACCATCATGATTTCACTGATTCCTGCAATAAATTCACTGGCACGCAATGCTACGTAGTCCGTTTCTGCCCGTTCTCGGTGTAGGTCAGCTTACTGGATGTGCTAAGGAGCAGTTAGCTTTTCTGGCTGTGTTCAAAATGTTGTTTTTGGAGGACGATGATTGGTATCAATTTTGAAAATTACAATTTTTTTTTTTTTTTTTACCGCCTACTGGTCCTTGTTCCAAAAAGGGCACCGCAAGTGATTTGACACCAGCAGTGCATTTCAGCCCCAAATCCGTGAACTATACATGCAAACATTAATCACTTTTTTTTTTTTTTAACTAGAAAATGCTACTTCATTCCATTCCCAGCTGTGCCACTTCTGTCCCATTACAGTCCACTCAGACAGCTTTTGCTTGATGTGTTTTGGGATTTTTGTTTCGTTTTCTTCATGCTTTTTTTTTTCTCTTTTTTTTGACGTGTTAAATTCCATGTCAGGGAACGCTGATCGGTCCAGTGACTGGGTCTCCTCTCAGAACTTAATGCTGCTACAAACATGGTTTATTAAACCCGGAATACTGCAACCAGGTCAGTTCTACTCTGGACTTGACCGTCACGTTCATACCTCACTTTACAACAGCCTATGACAGATTACTCTTCTCTTTCCTGACGATGTTCAACTGGTCTCAGTGCAGCCTTTGGCAAGCGTGTTTGTTTTGTTTCTTTCCAAGTGCAGTGTCTGATTCATTTACAGCTGTCTCCAGTGTGGGTTTTTTGTTGCTCCTTTTTGTTTTGTTTTCAACTGATTTTGCTTACAGCAGTGTGCATCAATGAACAGAAACTGTTTTTCATATAGAAACGTCTGGACACACCACAGGAATGACTGCATTGGGTCAGAGAGATGCAAAACATATTCACAGACTGTGGTAGAGATATAGGTTTGTGTTTTTGGTTTATTTCTCTATACATGTGTTTGGTGCACTGAATTGACTTTTTGATTTGTTATATCATGGACAAAATGATTTAGTGTGGCACCTGAAGGTTCGGTTTTTTTTTTTTTTCCCTCTTTCTGTTTGTAATGAACTATATCCTGCTAGTTGCTTCGCCCTGAGCCCCTGAATAGTAGATCATGATGGTACTATGGCTGTTTGACGCAGTGGTTTTTAACATGCCCCCTCGATGTACTGATGTCTTGTTTTTATGTGCCCGTGCACACAACTGGTTTGGGATCAGTCTTTTCAATGTGTACACTCTGCATTTTCTATTGTGGACTGCAGGAATTTATATTCAAAATGGTAATAAAGTTAAGGATTCGTACATTTTTGTGTGGCTGTATTTCTTTAAATTATTAATTAGCATTGGGCGGATGGCAGGAGCTGCTGCACTCATATCTGAGAGCATGAAAATATTTCATTGTTTAGCTGTCTGAAATGAATGGCCTGTAGTTTGCCTAACAGTCTGTTAAAAGCAGTAAATCTGATTCTGCACTGCGCATATATATGTGTGTGTGTGTTATATATATATATATATATATATATATGTATGTATGTATGTATGTATGTGTGTATGTGTGTGTATATATGCAGGAGAACGTCTCCTACCCTAAATTATAAATAGTAATTTGCTTGGGGTAATCAGTTTTGCTGGGCTAACTAAAGGCTATTGGCTATTTAAGTGTCATTGCACCCAAAAATTAAAACTTATCATTTACTCACTAGAACCAAACAGTTCTGGTTACCCCTGACTGCCACTGTATGGGCAAAACACAGATGCTTCTCAAAATATCTTCTGCAGAACATAGAAGATATTTAGAAAAATGCCCTGTTTTTTGTCTGTAGACTGTACCATTAAATTCATAAGGTTTCAATGTAGATAAGGTTTGTAACAGCACGAGGCTGAGTACATGCTGGTTTTGTGTTGGGGTACCCCTTAGTTTAGCACCCTCATTCTGGCATGAAGCTGAAATCTAATGCAGATGTTCTCGTGACACTTCCAGTGCTGAGGAAACGAATGAGGAGCGAGGCGAGTCACCTGACAAACTAGCTTACATGGAGAATGAAAAATAAAACACGGTCTCTCGAGTGACGGTTTAGCGCGATAACCCAGTTTGGTTTTGGTTGAGCACATCACATTCATGCACACTCGGTAAAATGAACAGCTCTCACGAGGATTTAATAGCACAGAACCTCAGCAGAAAACATACAGCTAAAATAAATAAAAACTAACACTGGCGAATCAACATCCTGCTTGAGTCTTGCTATTCAGAGAGTAACGCTGTGCTTCAGACCAGAGGGGAATAATATGATCCCAACACTCGAGTCTTCAGTCTCCTGTAGATTTCTCCTGTCACTAAAGCTCTTCTAGACTCAGAAAATCAGTAACTTTTTGCTCAGAATTGTCCATCTTGTGACACCGCAATGCAGGACGATGAGACCGTATATGGAGTGACTAGTTATTGACCAGGTCCACAGATTATGTGCAGAAGTTCAAGCAGGCTTTTTCATGCATCAGGATCCTTTGAGAGCAGGGATCTGCGCTGCTGATACGTCCTCATCCAACTCCGGACCACCTGGACATGCATAAAAGAAAAGCTTCTCATATCTCGATATGGTTTATTACAGCGATTAAAGAGTTTATCACAAAGGCTCATTGCAACACGTAAACATGTGCTTGTAAATATGTGGAAATGTGAAAACATTCAATTCAGCTCCCATTTCTTAAATATACTTTTCGCACTAAAATGAAACATAGTATACTTTCTACAGTCCTAAAATTAACTGAATACTGCAATGAATATAATATTAATTGCTCTTCCTCTTTTATCTTATTGTGGAAATTCTCGTGCATTCATAAACTTTACCTGAGGAGGTTATGCAACAATGACCAAAATCTTGGATGTTATGATTTAGGTGGTATGATACATATATTTACAGCTATATTTTGAATTGATTCAAATAATAGTACAAATATATCACATGGTTCATGAGTGTTTGCGGTTTACATGGAGAAAAAAAGAAAAAAACAGGTGGTTGTCAATGCAAATGTTTATAAGAGTCACATGGTAGACATTTCCCTGTTGTTTTGTTTCATTTTGTTATAAAGTTTTAGTATTTTGTATATAGTTGACCACATTCTGACAAATGCGATGTATACATATATATGTGTGTGTGTGACCCTGGACCACAAAACCAGTCATGAGGGTCCATTTTTTTAAAATTGAGATTCATGCATCATCTGAAAGCTAAGCTTTCCATTGATGTATGGTTTGTTATGATAGGAGAATATTTGGTCGAGATACAACTATTTGAAAATCTGGAATCTGAGGGTGCAAAAAAATCTAAATATTGAGAAAATCATCTTTAAAGTTGTCCAAATGAAGTTCTTAGCAATGCATATTACTAATCAAAAATTAAGTTTTGATATATTTACGGTAGGAAATTTACAAAATATCTTCATGGAACATGATCTTTACTTAATATCCTAATGATTTTTGGCATAAAAGAAAAATCTATAATTTTGACCCATACAATGTATTGTTGGCTATTGCTACAAATATACCCCAATGACTTAAGACTGCTTTTGTGCTCCAGGGTCACACATATATATAAATATATATACATATTTTTTTTTTTTAATGAAGTCTTTTATGCTCAATAAGGCTGCATTTGTTTGATCACAAATAGAGTAAATACTGTAATATTGTAAAATATTATTGCAAATTAAATAAATGTTTTCTACGTGAAAATGTTTTGCATTTAAAATAATAATTTTTATTCCTTTAGTAATTTAAGCTGTATTTTCAGCATCATTACTCCAGTCTTCAGTGTCACATGATCTTCAGAAATCACTCAAGAAACACTTCTGATCATTATCAGCGCTGAGAACAGTTCTTATATTGATTTTGTGGAAACCGTGATATATTTGATAAATGTCTTTGCTGTCCCTTTTGATCAATTTAATCTGTCCTTGCTGAATATGAACATTGAGTGGAGTACAGATTGACATTTGCTTTCAGTATGTGCAGTAGGAGTCAACAATAGACATCAGTGTTTTTCATCTCATAACAGGATGGATTACCTTTGTGTCTTCCTCTTTCCAGAGAATGTCCTGTTCCGCCTCGTTCAGCTCTTCGGTCGGGTCATACGTGTAAACTGGAAGCAGCTGATGCCGCAGTCTGTCAATCCTGAAAGTGCACAGACACACAGGCAGTTTTATTTCCTTCATCATCCACTTATATGGATATCTACTTCTGTGTTTCAAAGAAGAAATCCTTACGGGTTTACTAACTTTAGAGTGAACTAAACTATTGCTCAAAGGTTTGGAATAGTTATGATTGTTTAATGTATTGGAAAGAAGTCTCTTCTGCTCACCAAGGCTGCATTTATTAAAAACAGTAATATTGTGAAATATTATTACAATTTTCAACTGTGTCTAACGTAATGTATTTCTGTGATGCGGCGCAGTCTTCAGTGTCACATGATTCTTCAGAAATCATTCTAATATACTGCTCAAGAAACATTTCCGTTTACTATCAATGTTGAAAACAGCTGTGCTGCTGAATATTGGTAATAATAAGGACCATTATTAATACTTGAGCATTGATCTGAAGGATCATGTGACACTGAAGACTGGAGTAATGATGCTGAAAATACAGCGCTGCATCGCAGAAATACATTACATTTTACAACATATTCACAGAAAACTTGTTATAATATTTGGCAATGTTACTATTTTACTGTATTTTTGATCAAATAAATGCAACCTTGGTGAGCAGAAGAGACTTCTCTCCAAACAATCGTAATGAATTATTCCAAACATTTGATATCTTTCAAAGAGAGCTGGCGTATGTTTATTTACCTCCGTCTCCTCCTTATGTACATCACCTACAGTATAAAACAAGAAGACACATTAGCATTTTACTATAGGAACATAATACATGTGTGCATAAGACCTTTTGTCTGTCTGGATGTACTGCTCAGTCAAATTACTCCGTCGTGCGAGTTCACATTCTTCCCCCACAGGCTAGCACACAGTTAGAAACACGCTGACGAGACATGCATGCTACCTCTGCTTCACGCGCCAGCACCTACCACTGCTGCAACAGTCCCGAGGGCCGTGATGAGGAAGAAGGGGAGCAGCACGTAGCTGAGGGCCGCGTCTCCGCTGATGGTGTGAGGGGGCTGCGTGGTGCTGTTCATGCTGAAACACACTCAGACCGGGGCTGTGCTCCTGGCTCATCTTCTGCACGCGTGTGACTCCCACATGGTCTCGCTGCCCTCACTAGTGACTGTCAGATCCAAGAGCATACAGTTATTTATGGATGGGGACGCAGGCAGGATATATAGAGTGCTGATCTGTTTTATTTCAAACTTGTTTGCACTCTATCTACTTGATCAGTCAAATGTACTTTGACTTGGACAGATAGATTATTTGCTTGGGGGTATAGGTACATTGCCTTTTACAACACCTTTTAACTGCAGCGGGTGAAGCTCACAAAACAGGTACAGGTCACTTCGAAATCAGAAGGAAAAAAGTTATTTATAATTTTCGTTATTTATAAAACTTCTTTACGATAACCCCCCCCTCTCTAATCTTCTAATGTTTGGATTATTTATTTATTTGTAATTTCGTTTACTCGCATTACTGTAAGGCGATGTTTTAAAAGGTACATTGAATTAGCATTTAAATCAAAGCCGTACGAAAAACAACCATAGCATAGTTTTGCAGTTTTGCTATAATAAGCGTTTTTAGCATTTAATGAGAATGTTGTGTTATGATTATACAATGTGTGTGAGCATATACCGCGGTATTGATTCACGTACCGCGGTTTAGAAATATCATATAATCATATTGTACATCAAAGCAGCATGTTTTTTTCTAAAGCAGTTGACATGGCACAACGGGACTGTCATCAGTCATTTAATATACAAATGCAAACCGCACAACTTATATTTATATTAGGGAAATATAACATTTAATTCAAAACGTCCAGCAAAGGGCTAATATAAAAAGCGTCATGACTCTGTGGGAGATAAAAAACCGCATTCAGTGACATTATCTGCTACCATTTGTTTACGTGCATTGTTTTACTGTGGTGATCATCGATAATAGCATCAGTGTCATCAAGATAATTATAATAATAACACCGTGATGTCTGCGGATTCATGACCAGTCAAACCTCACTAGCGAGCCGTTAAAGCAACCCACCTGATTCAGTCAAGAGAGCCGGATGAGTGTCCCTTCACTGTAACAGACTCTAAACCCAGTTATTATAACACAAGTCATGAGTTTGCGCGTCGGTGTTTACGGAAAGCACGTCCTGCAGTGAAAACGAAACGATGACGCGAGAGCTGGAGGGAGGAGCTACGCTTACGTCATTACGTCATTCTCAGTCGCCACTGCATACCAGCATGTGATCATACCTGCACAAATACATTTATTAGAAATCTATTTTATGAAAAGAGATCTATTAAGCCTAGAGGGAAATTTTTCTGGAACATTTGTTTTCCAGAGATTATTTGGAAAAAAGCTTGGCTTCTTCCCTTTCGGTTTTGTATATCTAACAAACTTCGGGAAATACATCTGAAAGTACTTCATAATATTTATGTTAGTAACTATACTTTATCAAAATTAATGGATATTGATGAAAAATGTTCATTTTGTTCAGATCAGCCAGAAAGAATTCTACATTTTTTTTTTTTTTTTGAATGTTACCATTCAAAAAAATTCTGGGAAGACTTATCTATATATATTCAACAGAAATCTGGTTATAATTGTGAATTAACATCCAAAGATGTTATCTTATATTTTGAATCAAAAAATGCATCTGTCAATTTTATGATGAATCTAATGATTTTATTTGGTAAATTTCATATTCATAAAAGTAAAAGAAATAGTTCTAAACCCTGTTTGAAGGTCTTTATGACTGATTTTCATTTGTATTTTGAGTCTCTCCAATGTATTGATAACAACAAATGTAGAGATACAATTTTATTCGCTAAAGAGTTGAACGGGTATATGCTGTCTTTTTTTTTCTTTAAGTATTATTATTGTTTTTTTTTTTTTCTATGTAATGTAAACCCATTCCTTTAATTGTGTTATCTTTTTGGATGTCTTGTTAAAGTTGTAAATGTTGCATGTTATGTCTTTAATGTCTAATAAAAAAAAAGCATGTGATCATACCGTTTTTATACAGTCTATGGATCATACAGGTGCATATAGCGCAGGTACAATCAACTCGAGGAGGAGTACACATATTATACAATTACAGAACTCATGCTACAATGGATTTTATTTGCAGATTTAAAGGTTGAAGCAATGCTGTGTAGCACCACTACATTTGCATTTAAGAATGGGATTTTGCGATAGAAATTTATTATTAAGATTATTCGATTGTTTTATAATACTATAAAAATAAATGTTATATAAATATATATTTTTTAATATAAATATATATAAAATCGGATGTCAGTGATTTCAAGCGTAGTGCGATCACAGCACAGCTGTTGTCTTGATCTTATGTGTAACGTTCTTATACAGTCTATGGTAACGTTATTTGAGTTCATCAGACGACGGCTCGATTATTAATCAGGATTTCTGTGCTGATTAACATCTTGGAAGGGAGAGCTGGTTATGTAGTCTCAATGGGCCGCGTTTCATATTCATCCCAATATATAACAAATGTATAAATGGAAACAGTTTTATTGAGAATTTGGCTGCATTCACATACAGTACGTAAGCCGTGAACACAGGAAGGCAAACGACGCAACGACGTCGTGAATATGCTAATTTGCGTATGGCGTCATCTAGCACGTTTAGCGACCTTTCAAGCGGCTTTCGCTACTTTAATAATGTGTTTCCATTGAAAGAGGTTGACAACAGTGGAGCTTTCTGTGACATCTGTCAAGTTATAAAGACGTATATATTCATGCCACAATGACGGTTGCTTTAATAAATGATAATAATAATAACAAACACAAACTTGGTTTAAAATAAATTAATAATTAATGAATAATATATATATATATATATAAACATGATTCTACGGTTAAAGGGATAGTTCACCCAAAAATGAAAATGTGATGTTTATCTGCTTACCCCCAGGGCATCCAAGATGTAGGTGACTTTGTTTCTTCAGTAGAACACA